TTCGTTTGTTGGTGTAACAGTGCATGAGGACACGTGGGATCGCCTGGCGTAAGAAGGTAAGACACGTGTCAGGACAGTATGAGGGGACATCGGAAATAGTTTGGTCAAAGCTGACTTTTTCTGGTATGCATCCTTTTGGTCATTAACAACTATCAATATCCAATCCCAATTTTTCGTGGGTAAAATTTATTTACAAAAGTTAATCACATCATTTTTTTTTTTTTTTTTTTTTTTTTTTTTTTTTTTTTGTAACCAGCCAATCACGTTATCCGAAGCTATCGCACACCTAGCAGTGGTTGATGAGTCTCCCAACAAAGATTTTTTGCATCCACGAGAACTCGAACTCAAGACATTGCTTAAGCAACATCAAGTTGTTTACTACTTGAGCCAACTTATATTGGTGTTCACATAAATTAGAAGGTACGAGCTTATGTTGCTTAATCTAATCTATACATCAAAGTTACTAATGCATTACAACTTGAGGGATTATTCAATATTATTCATTAATTAAGTTTTGTCAAAGAAATTATTTTGATTTAATATAAAATCAATTAACATATCTTGCTTATCAAGACATTGTGATTACCTAATGATAAATATATATATACATATATATTGAGTGATACTAATTAAACTCCTCTCATTTATTTTACTTTATTTTCTTTTGCTATTTTTTTTAGTTGTTTCTTATTTAATTAGATTTAAAAATATCAATGTCCATTGTTTTCTTAATTTATTTCAATTGATATAAAATAATCAAACCGATACTATTAATTGTTAATAGAGTAGCAAACAAAATTTACAATTATGAATCACATTTTATTCTTTATGTGGCCAAATTGGCAATTGCAAATAACATTATAAAAAACCAAAAAGTAGGGGAAAAAAACTCAAAATAAATAAATAAATAATATACAAACAATAATCCTACAAATATTACAAACCGATTATACGAACTTTTTAATAAACTAGTAAGGAACACGTGCGATGCACGTGATAAAAATATCTTTTTGCTAATTTAGTGTACGAAGACATTTTGTTTCATGGTACTATGTTTTCTTAAACTCACTCTTAATAGAAAGCATGAAGTGGCCGGGATAAATTGTTAATGGTCTAAGGTAAATAGATAGTAGATCAAATTTTTTAAAAATGTAAAGTAAATGAACTATAGCAAGAAAGTAACCAAAGATTGTTCTTAAACTAAACATTAACTAAAGTAACTAAAGAATGTTCTTGAATTTAAATGATGGAAAGAAGGAACTATGATCTTCAACTCTTCTTTTTCTTTATGTTGATGATCGGAGTAGATGATTTCTTTCCCTTAATACTGTTGATTGTTTCATTATCCTCAATTTCAATGACACTATCATTGTCGTCTTCCTTTATCTTGTTGGCGACGCGTTTTCTTCTTTGAACTTGCTTTTTTTGTGGTGCCCCTTAATTCTTTTGCAGATCAGTTGCTTTTTGGGAGATTTTGATGAGCTTTTGTTCATTTAGGTAGTAATATTCAATTGCTTCGGGAACCACGTTCATCTCTCCTATTGAGTTGTAGGACTTGTTATTTATTTGGATGAGAAATTGAAATTGGGTGGTTGATTGCAAGCTCAATCCTCGATAGTAACCAGATGATTCTTCTCCCTAATAAATTTAGAACGAAACTTGAGTTAAAAATGGTGTATTTAAAGTTGAATTTTGAGTAATAAGTTTGAGTATTTGAAGATGAATTTGAGTTATAAATTGAAAATTTAATTACTTGCTCAATGGATCTAATGTAGTCTGAAACACCCCACGTAAATCATTGCAACATCTTCAAAAAGTGTGATAGTCCCACTGAGGTTCTCTTCAACAACATTTAGTACAAACCTACATATGCAAATAATAAAATTGTTTTAATTGTGCTTTGTCTTTAAAATATAAGATATAATTTTTTTGTTTCTCTTATTACCTTGGAGTTGTTTCGACGACACCGTTGCACTTTTTACACTTTTTGTTGTTGTCATTTTTGGCAACAGAGGAGGTGCATTTTTTGTATGATTCATACCATAATGATGATTTGTTCATGACTTTGTCGACAAATCCTCTGAAGCAATAGTATTCCCTGTGATTGGAAACAATGGTTACTTATATAAATAATTCAACCAAAAAATATGTTGGTTATTTATGATATTTGTTAAATTTACCTCAATGATGTCTGCACGATTATAGTAAATTTGTTGCAAGTTGATGCTATCCAAATCCTTCATTTTTCTTGACATTGACATTTCAACTATTTTCACAGGCTTGTCGTGTGTTTGTAACCTAAAAAATACAAAAAATAGGAGGTAATATTATTGTTATGTAAAAGTGTGATATTTTTTATATCGTATCAAGAATTTAGAGGATACCATATACGCTTATGGTTGTTTTTCTCACACGTAGTGTTGATCTGAAGTACAGATGTTGCACTGGTTTGCAATTGCAATTGGCCTAATTAATTAATTCTGAACATTATAATCGCAAAGTTATATGCACAATTATCTACAAACATAATTAAGGGATTATAAAAATTAAAGTATGATTGTAATTAACATTGTTTGATTGTAAATAAATAATCCCCAATATGTATGATTGTAAATAAATACTCCCGGGCAATAAATACTCCACTAATATGTATGATTGTAAATAAAAAGAACATTGTTTTTATGTCAATAAGATTCTAAATCATAAAGCTGTAACTAATGGAGCAATATGTATGATAATTGTGTGTCATTAATATAATTTAATGTAGAGAAAAGTTATATTTACAATTATCTACGATCATAATTAATGCATTGTAAAAATAAAACTTATGTTTATGTAATTGGTTTTGATGTTACCG